GTTTACGTCAGACGTTTCTATTGTTTTCCAATCCTCACAGCGCGCAATGCATCGTGGTCAAAACTTGGTCTTCAGACAATCGTGGAGGGTACCAGAAGAACAAAACGACATTTCGCTCTCGTCAATCTTCTGCCTGCTCAAATATTCATGAGAGCTGATAATAATTTTTCGATCCTTTGGCAAGCAGATGATGTCAAAACCCACGCGCTCTCGGATCCTTTGAGCGCGCGCTGATGAGAATAGTGAAGATCTATAAAGCTGAAAAAACTCTTTTGCAGATACACTTTACTCAGTCCATTAATTTTTCTTTGATGCGGCTTTTGATTGTGCTTGGATGAATTTAAGAACTATGGGCACGTTTGTGGACTCCTCAGACAGGAACTTTAAATGTAAACACTGCCAAAGTGATGACAATTCAATTAATTCTAAATTTTCGCTTTCAGTCGGTGCACTTGAGCTGTACTCAGTTCTTGTTGAAATAAATATTTTTGACCATTTTTTTCCTTACTTTGAAAACAGACAGTCAAAACAATACTCCGGAGACCCAGCTATAACTTTTATTTTAACGACACCTGTTTTAAGTCACTTAACACGTTTTGTCTAACTGTCGATGTGCAAAATAAATATGCGGAACACCTTTTTTAATTTTCCTTTTAAAATAAAATTATCATACGGTACCCGCGAAAATGTCTCCTTCAGCCACATTCAAGCGAAGAATAAAGACTTTCATCTTAATTCTTGGAACCTTCTTGCCATTTTCGCATGGATATTCCGGTAAATATTTCAAGATTTTAGTACATGTATGTGCACTCTTCCTCTTCTGTTTCCACCGTTTTAATCACCGTTTAGTCTGTCAGACGTCTTTTGTACTACTTCACTCTTAGACATTCCTCGTTTGCAAACAGCATTCGCATTCAAGCTTTCTATGATGGTTGTTCCTAGCTAATGGTTTTTGCAATTGTTCGCAGCGCGTGTTTTTCTGGCCTCCAGAAACGTTGCGTGAGGCTGATACTGAATGGCAAACTGTTCAATATTCAATTAAGTTATTTCGTTACAAACTTTGTTGCTTTCCTTTAGACCAAAACTCTTGTATCAATGAAGCTCCGTCTTACACTGTTAAACTTGCTATTTGTCTTTGTATGCCATTATTATTTTTTTTTTCAACTTAAATATTTTAGTACATAAAGGATAGAAGATGAAAGTTAATTCGAGAATTTTGCTCATCATATAGACGAAAAATACAAGAAACTTTAGAAACCTAAAGTTTCTTGTATTTTTCGTCTGAGAATTATGCCTTCTCTCCCGCGCACCGTCTTTGTTTTTGTTTTTCACGTGTGTTTTAATGCTAATTCCAACCTGCGGCGTAAAAATTAACAATTCTTCGAAAGAGCTGAATTTTTGACAAGCTGCCAGCGTTCATTCTGTCTTGGTACAAACAGCAAAAAAATATCACCATTTTATGGCCCATTAGCAAATTTAATTTTAAGTTAGCCATTAAGATCTTAGATCTTTCATAGCGGTAGCTGTTTTGCCACATCAAATTTTAACGCCTCTTTCGANTCTTGGAACCGTCTTGCCATTTTCGCATGGATGCTGCGGTAAATATTTCAAGATTTTAGTACATGTATGTACGCTCTTCCTCTTCCATTTCCACCGTTTTAATCACCGTTTAGTTTGTCAGACGTCTTTTGTACTACTTCACTCTTAGACATTCCTCGTTTGCAAACAGCATTCGCATTTAAGCTTTCTATGATGGTTGTTCCTAGCTAGTAGTTTTTGCAATTGTTCGCATGCGCGTGTTTTTCTGGCCCCCAGAAACGTTGCGTGAGGCTAATACTGAATGTCAGACTGTTCAATATTCAATTAGCTTATCTCGTTACTAACGTTACTGCTTTCCTTTAGACCACAATTTTTGTACCAATGAAACTCCGTCTTACCCTGTCAAACTTGCTATTTGTCGATGTATGCCTTTTTTTTTCTTTCTACTTAAATATTTTAGTAGATAAAGGATAGAAGATGAAAGTTAATCCGAGAAATTGCATTTTGCTCATCATATTGACGAAAAATACTAGAAACCTAAAGTTTCTTGTATTTTTTGTCCGAGAATTATGCCTTTTCTCCCGCGCACCGTCTTTGTTTTTGTTTTTCACGTGTGTTTTAATGCTAATTCCGACCTGTTAGTGCTGGAAATCCGCCAAAACAACATAGCCCGGTGGCATAAACATTCACAACTCTTCGAAAGAGCTGAATTTGTATCAAGCTGCCAGCGTTCATTCCCCATTGGTACAAACAACAAAAAATATCACCATTCTATGGCCCATTAGCAAATTTAATTTTAAGTTAGCCATTAAGATCTTAGATCTTTCATAGCGGTAGCCGTTTTGCCACATCAAATTTTAACGCCTCTTTCGATTGCGTCGTTTAGTTTAAGCTGCTTCAGTTTTCCAAGCCCGTTTTGATCTCGAGGGCTTCTGAAGGATATAGAACAAGTAACTAAATTTTATCCAAAGTGTGAATGGCCTCATCCAGGAATTTTAAACGACCACGCACTCCCGTTATCTACATTCTTTCTGCTTTCTTTGGAATCATCTCTTCGCGATGTTATGGATGTTCTGGTAAGAAACGTTGCCCTCGTTTTCGTTTTGTTTCCTAATTTTGTTTTATCGTTTTGCGCTTTTTTTTTTTTGGCCTAAAATTCGGCGATTTAAGGTTATTAATTTAGGGATGTCGATTCGGTCGATTTAAGAATAAAGTTACATAGGGCTATTCTGGAGTCATGAGTTTCATAAGGTGATTTTTATAATTTTTTATAGTTATTTTCATATAAGGTCATTTGCCCCCATGCTGATATTGATCCAATTTTTCTTCATAACTCTATCAGCTTTCTCTTTTACATTCATAGCACTCGAAACTACTAGTACAAAATTAAAACTTCCTGCATTTTTGATCGCGGACCGCTTAATAAATAATTATGATTTTCTTCCTCTTCGAAAGCAAGGTATAATTTTTTTTTTTTTTTAATTGCTATTAGTTTTTTTTTTTTTTTCTTTTCTTTTCATTAGCTGGATCTTTAATATCTGAAGAGTACGGAGTTAGTTGCTATTCGGTAACTGTGTAGCCGTATGCAGAGTTTTCTTTCGTTGTGCAAACTTGAGTTCATCTTGGCTTTCCGGCCCAGTCTAAGAATTTCAACTCTTCCTGTTTAGAAATTTGGAATAACGCCTAAAACCATAAAAGGGAGTTTCGCTAGCTTTGTAAACCAGATACTTGATAAGAAGAGAACCTGGACGGAATTTGCTTAAACGATCCATCGAAATATTGGAGTTAACAGAAAGATACCAGCTACATATGCATTTGCAAATAAACTCTAACATCGTAAATGATAACAATGCCCTCTGACATAATTTCTTGCCTCTAACTAGGTAGATCATTCTAGAATCAATATTTGTATAAATTCAAATTATAAATACATTAGATCCTGCTGCGCTAATTGAAAGACTATGTTCTTCAATACAAACTAACATTTTGGAGCAATGAACGCCTTGCTCCATACCATTTTTTTAATTTCTCTAAACTACTCCGGGATTTTTTTTTTCCTTAGCTGGCTGTTACGTCTAAATTAATTTCTATTTTCATTCGAGGTGAAAACACCCAAAAACATGCAAATGCTCAGACATCATGAATACTAAAAGAGTATAAATAAGAGGAGTCTAAACATGTACAGGCAAGATGAATGCAAATGACTTTTACAATTTTTGTCTCTAAGTTGACAGCTACATGTTTGCTTTCTACAGATGATGAATGTCGCATGATCATATTTAAGGAACCAATAGCAGACAGAGAAATGAGGGGCCACGTGATCAAAATGGAAGAGGTACTTAATCAGGAGAGCTGCCGGGTGTTCTGTTTTATTGAGCCCAACTGCGTGTCCATAAATTTTCGGCCCTGGCGGAACGGAAAAGACAAATGTGAGTTGAATAACGCAACTGAAGAGAGCAAACCTGACCCCGTGCTGCATAAGAAGATGGATTACATCTATCTCGGTATTGAGGTAAAAAGTTTGACCGTTGAGTTTCAGTCAGTGTTCAGTTCAGCTGTCTGATAGCTGTATCTGTTTGTGAGACATTGACAGTGCTCTTTTGCTCGCAAGTAAATTTTTCGTTTATGTTTGTTTGGTGTGCCAACCAAAATTCTTTGTTTGGTGAAACACTCAAGACAGTGTTTGATCACACTTCCAAACACCTCAAAGTTCGTCAAAAAAAAAACTCTCCTGCGTGTCGTAATTTCAACTACATATATCTTCTCGGTGTTTGGAAATGTGGTCAAACACGGTCTTTTCTTGTTTGATATAATACTTCACAATGTGACAGGACAGACGCATAAAAAGCTGGCGTCAGTTTGTTAAGTATAAATCGGAAAGAGCATATGTGGACTACTGATTTCTTAATTTTTTTTATACTACATTTTTTTTAACCAGAATCCCTGCAGCCGCAGCCCATGTTTTAACAATGGAACTTGTCAAGTAGGATATACAGCAAAAGACTTCCGTTGTAAATGTTTACCAGGATTCACTGGGGAGCTCTGCGAATTAGGTAAAAGTGAAATCTTAACAAAGGAAACATTTAGTAATCCTTCTTGTAAAGCTAGAGCAATATGTATACTTCGAGTTGGAGACGGCGAGAATAAATCGTATGGAAAATTTCACCAAGATTCTTTAGACCCGAATCAAACTGAACTGGGCCTTTAATGTGGGCTTGATTTGGGCTTTTGTTTCCCTTGTATTTCGTAGTAGTGCTTACAGCTTATAACTTCAAAAGTACTAAAAGCTTTTAAATAGAAACTAAAACCCTCCTTAAAAGTTCTTAAGAAGTACAACGTGTAGATTTTTACAGTAAGTAACGTTAGGATGACGCCAAAACAAAACATGCCTAAATGAGCTGTACTATAGTCATCCAGCTAAAAATATGATTACGAAAAGAAGATTACGAAAAGAAGACGTCGAACAAAAACATGGCTTAACCCTTTCACGACCAAATAATCGCCAAAAGAAATAGCGTTTTTAACCCTTAAATTAGGTTTTTGGCTGCCATGACGCTAAATAGGCCTTAGTTTTGCTGAAAAAGGTTTTTT